ACCGCCTATCGCATGACCGAGCGTTCGTGGCTTGAGCAACTTGAATGTAGCCTCTTCAGTGATTACTTGGAAATCACTACACCACAGTGGCTACACACGTGCAGCGGAATCAGCAATAATCTGCGAGATTGCTGGATCCGACCACCACCGTACGTAGACACCGACTAACGGAGGGGGTCCCCCGATGGTCTTTGATCGGCTGAACTTGTTTACCTTGTGTTCCCGTCGGAAGGGCAGAAACTGGCTACTCTGGTAACAAGTGAGTGAAGCTTGAAAGTTTTGGCGAGACGTGGGGGTTGTGTGGAGAAATAGCGGAAGATCTTCACTATACGTCCGATGTAGAGTCTAGATCACAAGCGAGTACTTCGAGCTTGTTGGGTCTGGCGGTGTTGATCTGGGATCTTGACCGTAGGCTGCCTTGAGGGTGTGTTTCTTTGAGTTTCCTTTCCGTCGTGCTTGCCGCTTCCAATAGCGGGATCTTGATAGTTGAGAATCGATAGATACTCCAGGTCAAGCAGTAAATCCGGTTAACCTCCTTGATCTGCACTTGTGAGGAAAGGTTCACTAGGTGGTGTGATCTGGCCAAACTATTATCCAAGTATCACAACCAACATTAAATCTGCTATTCCCTACCTTGACTGAGCTTGATAAGGCCAACGTCGTTCCGGCAGGAAGTGTGTAACACAATGCAAATTCGAGTATGATTTGTAGTTGGGTCCTATACACCAACTATCCCTACCATCACAACCCCTTGATCCCTTTTCTTCAGCTATGTAACCGCTCTTCCTAGTTGATCTTCGTCGTCCAGTTGTCCTTGGCACCGGATCTTGGCTGATCTGCAACATAGTCCTCGTCTTAAGGCTGGAGTTTTAGCGGATCTGTCCAGATCATGACACATATAATTTAGATCTTGATGATCTTGGTCACTCAGGGTGTGTCGAGCCAGGATTTATCTTGCTCCAGAATTCCTCATAATGATCTTCCACATGCTGATCGTCCTTGATCTGGTGTCACCGTCCGGGATTCGCAGCCTTACCGTTGGATCGTGGTAGACCTCTCCGAATCAGGACATCTGCACTCCAGATCCTGATGATCTAAGTCATCCAGAACATGTTGAGGCACGACCTGTCTTGATTCCGCTTCTCCGTACCTTTATCATGACCTTCCAACGCAAATCAACCCAATCTAGGCCCAGGACCCACTCATACATACTCAAGAATTCAGGATCTGCGACGTCGGCTCCTGGATCGTCAGGATCCCGTTCTGTCATGTCGGGATCTGAACTGCTTGACTCCGATCGGGTCCACCAAGTTGTCTTAACACAAAATCTCGTGATCATTTACCCAATCGCCTTGATATAGTCGCCCAAGCTCGATATCTTAGAAGGCCATCCTCTTATATCGTCAATCTCCACTTGGCAACCCGAGATCTCAGATTAGCCGGATCACTCCTCATGATTTACTTGATCCAGGCATTACTGTGAGTTGCCGTCGTCATATCTGACTTCATCGCGGCGCCCTTCGTCCCAATCCATCACATTCAGGGTCAATCTACTTCAACATTGCCATGTCCAGGTTGGTCACATCACTAATCCGGAACAGTGACCATCCATCATATTCCATCATCTCGTTCTTCAAAAAGTACTCTACCAAATTCGTACCCTTCGGTCGAGCTCCAACTGGACGTTCGGGATAGCGATTCCGGTTGGGCATCTGTCGCTCGTACCAGAACTCCCCATTCCATACTCGACTCGCTGGGACATCCTAGCTCCCCAACCCACTGGGGGTCTGAATTATTCATTCCAGACCCTCAGTGGGTTAGTAAAGAGTGCCACAGCGCCAGCACCGCCTTCAGCTGTTGCCGCGCCTCCCACATGCGCCGTACGCAACTCCGTTGGCAAGCTGATACCGCCAATTCCTGGAATCACTAATGTAACGGGGTTACACGGGTTTACACCTGGTGTATTCCACACATGGGTACGGAGTACCCGAGTTAACAAAC